ACGAGAACTTGTAGTTTGCTCCAAGCACTGAATAGCTCCAGATTGCGGAGGAATGTGTTACGAGCCCATGAAATTTGTTAACCAGACAATAAAAAGTGACGCTGATACATATTATGTAAGTGCGATTTCGATGTCACGCTCTATCTTCACAGGAACAACTTTATTATTAAATCACCGAAAACAACTGGTACCACATAGACTTGAATGGATGGTCATGGGTAACCACCTCGTCTCGGAACTCTACCCTTTAAAGGGGATTGGGAGGGGAACAATAGTACAGGGGGTCACCCATGATAAACGGAAATTCTACTGAAACAATAAGCTACATAAAAAAATAACTCTTTCATGAACTATTATGAACCAGCAACTGGAATATATCCCTCACTGGGTAAAAATACAAACAAGAATGAGGCAAAGGGTCCGGCATATTTAAATAAATGAATAATTTTTTAAAAGAAAACTTAAATGCCTACAGATTTCTAAAATATGGAATTTGATAGGACAGAAAAAAAAACTAACTACTCAGTCACCCAACTCAACAACTAATGGGTATACTGCTGAATAGATGCACAATATACTAGAAAAGTAGCACATTACACACATATACCCTGTTTCCCGATCGAAATGTGTCGCACATGCAGACACACACACAAGTGGTTGAAGCCTCAAAAAAATCGATATCGCATATGCTTTTCGATGCCGCAAAACAGAGTATACATAGTGTTTATCTTCCGCGTCGGCGAGTAGTTAATCCTGACTTTACAAATAGGCATGTCATAATTGACTATTTCATTCCACGCCTATATTGCTAAGCCTGCACTTTCTACTCACTTGGATGCAGGAGACAAAACATACACATGCACACAGGAATGAACACACACACATTTACCAACAATGAAAACTATTGTACCCACCCGCAATCGTTAGCTCATCGAAACAACATATGAGAACCAGAGAGGAGAACGCTGATCCAAAAGAAAAAAATACATCACTTTCACACAAAAAAAAACATACGCTTTACAGACTCGTAACGGGAAAAGATCGGTCGTACTGAGATAAAAAAAAACACCTGTCTTACACACAGACACACAGCCTCTTAAAACGGATATTCACATCCAGGATAAAACAACAACCATGACACAAGAACAACTATTCACAGATGATATATATCAAACCGGGACTCAATCGACGAGGTATAAAATGCGACTTATCGCATCAAACCTGACGCTTCATCTTCGAAACTTTCGGGTTAAAAGGATGGAACCTATGACGCTTCTTCGGCGGTAGACGATAAGGCTGAGCGCGGCGCAGCGCATCGATCTCCGAAAATGGTTCCATAGTAGGAGGCTGAAAATGTACAGCACAATGCTGAAACTTCGAAAAGCTTTATAGAATACCATTAAATATAGAGAGAAGGAATGAATCGCATTCAATCAAACAACTACGCCCCAAACAGGTTGCTCCATAATTATTAGGCACTCAAACTATGCACCAGACAAGACCTACAACCTAGACCTACAAGGACACAAAAATAGAGAACTTGAAGCAACACCTCAGATGAGCCTGTGCCAAAGAATCTATTCTGTGGATGGGATAGAGTAGCCCACGAGTATCACAGATGTGCCGTTGTCGCGGCTCGAAAGTGCGCGACAATGGCGCTAGGGCCTTACAAAGTGATCTGATGGCGACTAATGTGAACTTACGGACGAGATACCTCGCGCACACCCCATGACACGCAACGTGGATTACGACGTAGCGGCTAATTCAAATACGCGCGGTTAGTGGAGCCATGGAGCAAGCAAGTTCAGACAACTCGTCCAGACACGCCCCTCATTTTTTGCAGCAGAGGGAGAGTGAGGGAATCCGTAGTTGAGGGTTTCATCGGTGGTTTGCTTTGCTTCTTTTCGTATTTTCAGTCAACTCGACAAGCTCAATTTCATTATGCACCGCTCTTACCCCAACCCATTGATCCGGGGTTGTTGCTTTGAATTACCTGAGTATGAAGTACAAAGAGGAGCTATGGGGAGGAGTTTATGCACATCAAATACCGGTCGTGTAGCAGCGTAGGTCTCAGAGAAGCAGTCTGAGCTGTCTCAGAAGTCACTGCAGAGCTTCCAAAGAAACGCTTGATTCGGAAGCATCACTGTCGAGAAGCAGATCCTCACACAGGAGGAACACCATGAAGTGGGTAAGCACCTAGTGTTTTACTTCCTAATGGGTTGTGAGTATATCTATATGCCATTCGCTTCAGTTTTATGGTGTTTGAAGGACTTGAGGATTATGAGTGAGCAGGTTGTACCTTCACATCATCAGCCACAACGGTAGTGATCTCATTAACTTCGTGGCCGAGATTGTTGTCATGATGATCAACGTCCTCTGTGGAAGAAGCTCCGTAACCGATTGTCACAACATTGATGACGTTCGGAGGAGGAATAATCCCATTATTTTCAGGATAGTCGGGATGATACTGTAAGAAAACTTTAATTTACATTTTAAACGACACGATAGCATAACTTACAATCTCATTTGAGCCCATGACTTCGGGGTCGATGTCATATTTCTGCGCTGCTCCAAAAAACGGGCTATTTCCATCCTCGAACAATGGCTCAGAATTGCGTGAAGCGCAACATGCACTTCCAAGATAGTCCTCGAGACTGAAAAAGGTAGCGCGGATACTGTAGTATACTCAAATAAACTCAGTAAGACTCACACTTGATTGGTAAGCGGGTAAGCACTGCCCACTAAAGGTGGATCATCATAGGAGAAAATGAAATGAGACGCCTGAAGAGCTTGCAGAAGTTCTTCACTTCTCTGAAGGCGAAGCTAAATAGTGCCAAATAAGTATTTAACTGCAGAATGAAGACAAAACGTGAGACAGTCAAAAAATTTAACCCTTTCGAACAACCCTCACACGAAAGTAATCCGAAAGGAACCTTTTCATGTTGTTTCTTACACTGTAGCTCAGAGTGAACCAGCAGCAGCGTACCATTCCAGAAATGCCACACTGGCCCCAAATCCTTCTTTGGCTCGCAGCAGAAACTGATCCAGTCCTGCTGCGAGCCAGACTAACTTATAAAGAGCAATGTTTCTAAAGAACCGGTTCACCTAAGAGTAGAGTGAAATAGAAAACCTGATCTTCCTTCTTCATTTCCTTGGACACCTTTGCCTGTTTGGCCTGCTTGCTCATAATCCTTTTGATCTCTTCAGCACTGATATGTTGACAGAACGATGGACCTTCCTCCTTGACTAGTTCTTCGTAGACTCTTCTTGTTAAAAAACTTAACAATAAACATTAAAATCCGAAGAGCAACGAGTTTTGGCCCGCAATTATTCGTGAGCAGAACGAATTAATTGAACAAGTATTCAGACTGTGTTGAAACACCTCACCTTTCCCAGAATCCCATCTTGCCTACATAACGTAGGGCCGTTACAACTGCTCTCACATATTTTGGATCAGATCTGCGGCAATCGAATCTGAACATAAATTATCAACACGATTTCAGTGAAGAGTTGTGCAACGGTTGTGAGGATGGTTGGCAAAGGCTGGCATGCATCATGTCGCGTAGGGTCATTCCGCTACATTTCTAGTTGAACCGGCGGTTTAGTCAAGACTGTAATCCAAACCTTACGAACGAGTATGACAAGAGACTCGAAGGTCAGTGCAAGATAGCGATAGAGCCCACTGCACATGTGCAACCAAGCTTAGAAGCTTCAATAAATGAAATAAACATCGATTACAAAGCATAGTTAATGGCTCTGAACCAAACAGGTCCTTGAGATGGAACTTCTGTCGAGCCAAGCCGTGTCAAAACTGTAGTATACCCTGGACTTCACTTGCCGAAAGGTCGAAATCAATAACAGCTCAATCATAAAACTTGTCATGTACAGATGTTTTAGCTTAAGCTAAAGAATAACGACGAAACATGAAATATGAAAAAGGAAGACAGCAACTGCTATAACAACTAACCTGATATGGAAAGCCATATCGAATAAGTCAACTTGGGTATAATCAACAGTGCTCTGAGTCTTATCATTCACCCAGAAGACAGTAACCTATAACGAAACGCTAGCAAACTTTGGTTTAGTCTTCAGAATAGGTCAGGCACATACCTTCACCGGCACTGTATCCGTTATTTCATAAACTGTTGCAGGCCAATGTTCATTCTTGCGCCATCTGACCCATACCACGTCACCAACCAAAATTTCTTTCCAATTGGTTGCATTCGGACCCTATTTGTAGCGAAGTTTTTATATACAAGACAACGCAAACCAGTAAAACTTATAAATGTATTACCTTCACTGGAAGCTTGATTGCAACTTCAAAACGGCCACGGAGCAAAGCGAAGGCCTTTTCGTCTTTTTCTACAACCACAACATCGCTAGTGGATCGAGGAGGATAGCGCACAAATTGAGGCGCCTTCCCCACTTCTCCTTCAGGAATGAAGTACGGATTGGTACGGAACTTTTTGTAGGCTTCCGACCACATTTTAAACCTAAAACATCAGTCTAGAAGATAATTAATGTTGGGAATCCCTACTTAATTAAAGAAACATCGAAGACGAAGAAGAATCCTAGCAAAACCCTACCTGTACTCCAGAGATCCTTCAGTTGGGCGCGAAATAGTTCTCTCCAGTGAGAGACGTGAGACATCTGACTCTGTTCGAAGGCTACTGTCGCTCACTTCGGGTTCAGCTTCGAGTTCGGCTTCATGCTCGTCTTCGTGGTCAGCTCCGTGCTCCTCTTCCTCCTCCACGTGCACATCTGCCAACTCAGTTTCAGTATCAGGTGTTACAATGCGAAGTATCGGTAGTGCACATTCGTCTCTTTCAAGAGGGTCGTAGTGATTCTCACCCTGCACCTCAACCTTCACCGGAGGAGCACCTCTTCTGTCATTCTCGTTGCGAAGCTCTCCTTCATCAATATAAAGTCCATCCCTACCATCTTCATCATCGTCGCCAAGATATGCATCGCCAGAACTTCTGCGGCGACGAGGGTTGGTCTCAGTATCCCTGTCATCGCTATTCAGTGAGCGCCTTTTACGAATAGGCACAGGACGCTCCTTCCTCCTGAGACTGCCATCTGAAGGCTGGAAATGTTCCACTAACTCCTCATCGACACTAGGCACTCGGCTTTCTTCTGTAGCATCCGAATCACCAGCCATATTATAAGTCACACGAGATGTAACATCATCAGATGAAATCTAAATGATATCCTCAAAGAGAAAATTATCAAAATGAGAATAAGGATTTCCACGTTCTAATAATTATGACCACGTCCCCACAATATTTCACAAGCATTCATAGTACCTGGTCATCAGCTGTTACGCGCTCACCAGTACGACGTCCAGCACGTGGTCGGATTTTCTTAGGCTAAAAAAATTGGTTGCATTACGGAAGGACCTACATCATGGATACTACTCGAAAATGAACATACGCGGCCTCTTTTTCTCTGCTTCTCACGAGAAACAGAATTTTGATTCGTTGGTGTCACCAGCTCGGAGGCCTGTTCAGGAATGGGCTCCTCAACCGGCTCTTTCTTCACGACCACCAGAGGCGCAACACACAATGTACCGTTGGTGTACGGCTTCTTCGGCTGAATTTTCAAAATTCAATTCGGAATTTTATAAATCACACAAAACAAGAGCTCAAACACATTATCCACAACAATGATTTGCTGCCATTTCACTTTTTAGCAATGAGCGAAATCCCATGTTTTCTCTGTCAGGGCTGCTCCACTTGCAATTGTAAGGCATATACGGATTTAAAAATAAAAATGTGCTGTAAGTGTAAAGAACTAGGGTCTTTCCAGTTCGGGAGCGGCATCATGAAGCAGTTCCTAAGCGAACTAGTGCTTGAACATTCCAGCTTTTCACGCATGTCAAGTGACTGCCCACCCCCGCAGACTGGGTACACTCCCCTGGACTTCGAGATATCGACTGTACCAAACTTCTGCTTTATGTTAAGAGTGGATAGACCCAAGAACTATATTCCAAAAACAAGTTCTTCGAGATTCTCTTTAAAAAAGCATAGCGTGCAGCCTCTGAATTCGTTACACTACGGCTTACTTCAAGTCACAAATCCTCCACTCACCGTGCTAAAATCGACGTCTGACGAAAACACGCCTTCATCTTCCTTTTTTACTACAAAGAGAGGTTCGTCCATTATGTCGCTCAACTTCCTCGTTCTGCACTTTGATCGCTACAATGATTAATTGTTTTTTTATGGTAGCCGTGATACTCTTGCTCAGTAGAGTTACACATACCGTGTTCATTGAAGGAGACAAGCAGAAAAGATAAGGATCACAATCATTGCCAACACAAATGGGTGGGGCGCTAGCTGTACAACGACGAGCGTCAAAGTCACTGGCTCTTGTAGAGGGAGGGGCAGAATTACGCCTTCTGACTGAAAATTTGGGGTGAAAATTATCTTTCAAACGAGCAAAAGAGCCAAACTCACATTCATATCTCGTTCCAGACATTCTTGATTCGAAATCAGACTGAAAAAGAAGTAATAAACTTTCTATCTAAATAACAACTAGCATCAGAAGTCAAACTGTAAATCCGATTTAAAAATCCAGACAGCACGTATCTTAACTTTTAAGAAATGATTTTCTGCCTTGCAAACACCGTAGAAGAGAGAGGGTTTAGGGATATGGTGGTACACGCAAAACTGAGAGTGAAAACATGCCTCATAGCTTCAGCGGTACAGATCGAAAAGAATTAGAAAAGCATAGGATAACTTATGTTCCAGAGGAGGTTGTGAATGTCGTCTTGAAGACTAGTAAGCCTAATTAATTACTTAACACATAAAAGAAAAGTTACACTTCGAATTCATAGCGCCCCATCTTCAATTACTTAAAGTTTCAGATGTTTTGTATCATGAGTGGATATCTGCAAAGCAAATGAGCATCATGCATAAGGTCCCACCTGACTAAAGTTGCTCGTTTTCAGACAGAAGAAAAAGTGCAAAGCACGAGATCGTCAATTCAACAATACTCCGCAATCGACTCTGCGACGAAACAAGTACTAGCTAACTTAAATATCATATTATCACGACATCAAGCAGCTAGCTCCAGGGGTGTAGCAAGAACAAGTACACCTTCCATGAGCACAAGCAACTTTCAAAAGCGCTTCATCCATACTATTACAGCCTGACGTCGGCTGCATGCATAGTCGGTCGTCCGATCGCAACGATCGTAACGGTCGCACAGCATTAGATGCGTATCGATCGTCAGACTTGCCTGAGTATTCGACGATCGATACGTATCTAACGCTGTGAGACCATTAAGATCGTTACGATCGGACGACCGACTATGCATGCGTCCTCCCATGGTGGGAAAATGGGTAGTGATTGCATGCTTAGTAACATACTTGGCATCAAACAGCATCAAGAGCATCGAGGACCTCACGTGATATCGATTTTTTCGACGGCCTGGACCGTGGGAAACAAAGTATATCACTGGTTCGGATGTGTGTACAAGAAATACCCGATGCTTTAGATGCTTACCCACTCTTTCACAATTCGTAAAACGATCACAGTCAATCAAAATAAAGTACACTTAATTCCGAAGATCTCGAGCAGATTTTGAGTTTTGGAAATCACCAGAGCTAGATAATTTCCAAGACTGTTATCTAAACAAACTACATATGACATCATTCACAGCGGAAAACAGTAAAGGCGAAGTCTTGCGTGCACAAAGCCTGGTATCTTAGGCGTACGCTAAGTGTATGAGGGCTGCAAAAGAAGAGAATAGATTAGAGAATAGAAGGATAGAACAGGCGGGCTCGGAGACGGATGCCTTCTTCAACGCTCTCGTGATGTTCCTGTATGCTAACCATGCCGCTCGTTTCCTCCTGCTCAGCTCTGGAGCTAGATCGTTCATCATATTGATTTCCCGACCTAGGTACACGTAGCTGGAGCATTCGGTGATGTTCGTTCCGTTGAGCGTGAATGGGGCATCAGGAACCAATCCGTTTCTCATAAACATCGTCTTCGTTAGGTTCAGCTGTAGACCGACCTTACCACAGGCGCAGTCGAAATCAGCCAGCATTCGCTCCGCTTGCTCGATGTTCGGCGTTATAAGAACGATGTCGTCAGCAAAACGAAGGTGGTGTAGTTGCCGGCCGTCGACCTTCACTCCCATGTCTTCCCATTCCAGTTGACGCATGACGTTCTCGAGAGCGGCGCTGAAGAGTTTGGGCGAGATGGTGTCGCCCTGTCGAATGCCCTCACTCCACGTCGATAATGATCTCCTTGTAGAACGGTGAAATTCTGACCTTAAACCAGCTTCAAACTTTACAAACAATCCTTCTGTACATAGTAGGGTTGCTCGGGGCCACGATGACCGCTTCTGACTTCACAGAGTGGAAGGCTTTCTTCAATCATGAACAGTAGACGGCGGCATCTTTAACGCTGTGAAACTTCAATAAGTCTCGTAGGGTAAAAAATTGGTCGAGGATCCGTGACGGCTCGTAGAGGATTTTCGTTTGTTCGGTCACACTCTCCCGCACGTGCATTCGCTCTCGCCACGCGCGGGCCATATCTGTTCTCTGCGCCTGCATTCACTCTATTGCACAGATAACTCTTCCTGAAAAGCTCAGAAGGAACTCTTGTGAATTCGTAGTTTTTTCTCATGACGACCAAATGTTTGTTGCCATGTCGTGTCGTGAAAGACAGTGTGGAGAATCATCACAACACGTGGACTTCTTGCCGCTTCGCTTTCCTTGATGCGCTTTCTGGGTTTCACGCCGAGCACCGGTATAAAACTGGTCATCTATATTTATATTTCGAACTCAAACTCTGTCCACACTCCAACAAAAAACAGCATGGGACTTTCGTCTACCTATATCCACTTTTCCCTGTTTCTGAGCCGTCTTGAAACCTAACTACAGCCTTCGATCACAAAACTAATCACATTAGTATCAAAAATTAGAATCCACCGATAGCAGTTGACCTGCCTTTCTTTGTCAGACTTTATCCACTTTTTCCGGACCTTCGGCACTTCTTGAAGCCGAATTATGTGCTTTGCGGCAAACTCCGTCCCCTTGGTGCACGCCCCTCCCACCATTAGCCTCCTCTAACATCTATCCACTTTTCCCCGACTTTCAGGCAGACTCAGACCGAGTTAAGAGTGATACGGCAAACTCCGCCCACTTAGGGGGCGTGCTCCACCCACTGGTGAAACTTGACTTCCTTCCCTTCGCTGGCCTCGATCCACTTTTCCCAATCTCTGGAAGTTGTGGAAGAGAGTTATAAGTCTGGAACAAACTCAGACCACTTTGGTGAGTGCCTCGCCCACCAATAGAAAAACTTATAAGTTTGGCGGCAGACGATATTCAGACCAGATGTGGCTAAGTAGTAGTTTTCTTGAAAACTTGTTAATGTTGTTTGCTGTCTTCCTATTACAGACCTGGCATTGCTCCGCCATGGCTAGTGTCGGAGTCCCATTCTGCGATACGTCGCGCGATTCGCGCGAACCTCGCGACGGACCGCAGAATTCGTAGTGCTCCAATCTTCTCTCCAATCGTGCCGTCATTCCTGCTTGATAATGATGATTGAATGGCGAGTTCATGATTTCACTTGTTTCACATTCAATGGTTCAAATGGTCACATGGGCACTTACCACTTTTGCGATTTGCGCGGATCACGGACCCTGACAACAGCCTTACCTCTATCATTGCCTCTGAACGGCAGTCCTTGTTTATTCCCTCCCATTCCTTCTACAGCTACTCATTTTGTCACTCATTTGTAGGGAGCTGCGAAACCCGTGACGGAGTGGAATATCAACCCCCCATATACGACCAACAAAAAGAATGGATAGCAATGAGGAAGCGAAAGTGAGCTTGCCGATTAGAAACAAAAATAAGCATAAGGGGTGGAATATCGAATGTTTAACAGAATTAAACAAGCTACAGCAATGTTCCCAAAAATTTCACCATAATAAAAGTACTTAAACCAAGTTGCCGGTAGCTTCCTTGCAATTCACCTTCCTGTAAGGTTATCACATAAAATGACCTATCATCTCCCAACAAACCGTTTCTGATAATTATTCAGGTCTGGTATTGTGCGAAGTGTACAACAAGCAAAATGAAACCAGAAAGAAAAGTTGTGGGATGCCAATTTCTTTGCACGTCACTTTTCAGTCCGGTTTTGCAATGCTTCGAGTTTTTTTTTGTTTTAGAAGATTTCATTTTGACAAACGCACAGGCAAATCTCCTTGTTTTGAATGACCGTTATTTTCCACTCTGAAATGTTTGACATCAATTAATTTATAAAATACAATTGGTGTGTATGTAATTGAAAAGTGTGCGATCCAATGCTTCACTGGGAGTGTCAAACATGGCACTGAGGTGGATGCAGACTCGGCGACTGTGCGACGCCGAAGGGCGTGTCGTTACGATCCGCATGGTTTGCATTGAGCGCCCCTCTCCACACCAAATCTCACCACAATCGCGGCGCCTGCACTTTGATGCGTGATCGCCAAGTCTGACAAGCACCTGATACTTGTGGCAAGCACTACTCTCTCCCTTAATTTTCAAGCTAGAAACTCATTCGGTATATAACTTAATTATGCTACAATAAAAGACATGAAAACCCCTTCAAAACGCAAAATTGATTGCATGGACCAAGACAACGCTCAGCCAAGATCAACTGCTCGTGGTCCGGACATTGTAAAGGAAACCTGATTATTGCTAGGTGCTGACCAAAATATTTTTTAGCAAGAGCATGTTTATCTTAAACAGTTGAGATTGACTTACTCTATCGACTCGTGGACTCATGCGAGGGATACGTTGTTTTACTGAGATAGTTGCTGAAATAAACGTGCTCATACGTGATTAGCAGAGGAAGCCAGGGAAAACAAGCGATACAGACCTGATACTGGAGTGCTTTGACGCTTGACATATGAAGAAACTTTTACAGGATCGCCACGACGGTGCTTATCTGAAAGCCAATACTTTGAGGAAAAAAAGATCTTCAAGGAAAGTGGCGCGCTAAACAGGGAAGTTCCACAGTAAAATCGTGCCACGGCGTCATGTGACGCACTATTCTTCATGCATCGGTGTACCACACGCATTTAGCTGAGGATTTATTCAGAGAGTGCAAATATTAGGTTGTTGCAATTTACAGTAACATGACGCACAGGTTCACTTTCACCACAGTGGGTAGCTTTTGAATCTCCAGAGATAGTGTGATTCATCGAAAAAGGACATCAGAGTGTATGGAAGTGATCACTCTGCCCACAGCACCTTGTTTTTTTTTTACTTGAATTTTTTCCTTTAACGATGCCAAACCGAAGATACAACCGAGATCTTGAAAAGCTGAACACAGTTCACACGGTTACCCGGCTTTCGTCAACGAAAGTCACTTATATACAAATTGTGCACCGACTCGACAAGAAAGAAAAAGAAAGAAAAGAAATGAAGAAATTTGACATTACATAACTTGCCTACCGACGGCCATGGTGCTTATTCCAGAAAAACAACACAGTGAAGAAGTGCGAGATTAGACTGAAGACCTTTAACATTTCCGCCAAACAGCCCTTGTCACACTCCATCTAAGTGCGGCTTATCCGTGTCAACGTTGACCATTGTAAAAGAGATGGCCTGGTAGACTGCCAAAAAATCCGATCTGAGGGTGCAACTTTGCCAACGCACAGTTGGTACAAGTCGTTGAGAAGAGAACCACGGGTCCCTCGACAATGACTAGCGAAGTCTGACGCAATGAAGCAGTATCGTAGTCCTTGTTTCAGTTCCAACAAATCTTATTTGCACCCAAAAACGACACTTCCCCTGCAACAACCTAACGAAACATACATGCACTGCGACGCATAATCTTAGTTCCACCTACAAATTTCCCAAAAACTTGAATCTGGGGATGTTTTTGAAAAAGGCCCTATGGACAAATTGTGACACATATAAACGCGAATCTGTATATCAACACGGAAACCCGGCACTATTTACCCTTTACTGCCCCACTCCCCGAGAACTGAGCCGGGTTTTTATCGAAATTGGTCAATGACTGTGGATTTGGCTAGAAACTTGCCTTAAGGGGTAATTTGACCCGTAGAACACGAATATCATACCGGTTTAGCGCGAAAACCAACTTTCCAGCGAATTTGGGGATCCGAGATGTTCTGGCGCCTTTTGGCGCCGGCGCTTCTGGCGCGAGCGCCAGGCGTTCTAGCGGTAAACAAATGTGATATTCGTGTTCTACGGGTCGAATTACCCCAAGGCAAGTTTCTAGCCAAATCCACAGTCATTGACCAATTTCGATAAAAACCCGGCTCAGTTCTCGGGGAGTGGGGCAGTAAAGGGTAAATAGTGCCGGGTTTCCGTGTTGATATACAGATTCGCGTTTATATGTGTCACAATTTGTCCATAGGGCCTTTTTCAAAAACATCCCCAGATTCAAGTTTTTGGGAAATTTGTAGGTGGAACTAAGATTATGCGTCGCAGTGTAGAACTAGTAACTAGTCTCGCCAAGAAAAGTGATACGCATGCGCCGCTTCGGTATGCAAAGGGTCGTATTAACATAGCTAAAAACATCGAGGAAGAAAGAAATAGAACACGATTAAGGTCCACCTCCCTACATTTCAAAAACCATATTTCCTCAACCACTGCGTTGGGAAATTTCAGGATCAGCTCGACCCTCCCACCCTTCTACTTCTCCCTACCTCTTTTAGAAGCTGTTTTATTAGCCATTTAATTCAGTAACGTCGAGGGTGTTGACGGTAGGAAGAAAACTCGTCACGTCTTGAAAAATGGTCACTGTTTGTGGAGAGCCTTACTCGCCATATGTGGGAGATGAGCGCGCGATATTGGCGAACCAGTCAATCCGCAAGAAATGCGGCAAATTTGCCGTACACGCTGCAAAATCCGCATCTTACTCCTATGAAAAGCATTCCCTCGATTGGAAGATGTCCAATAAAATGCAGAAAATGACACTCCCTTCTCAGCTAATTGAATTAGCTTTGCAACATTCTTCGAAATGAAAACTGTCTTAGTGGTCAAATTCGAAAGCCGATCACCATCTCTACAACCGCCAAGTTTTTAAATGTGACAGCGTGCTGCTCCTAAATGATGATCTTCTTCTTTCAATCATTGTGCTAGGAATTAGCCTCTTAGGCTACTCTAAGGGAATTCTGCAACAATCAGAAATAAAGGTGAAGTATATGAAGGTCACATAAACTAACTTCCTAAATCAAGCAAAACCAGCACCTTTCAAAATGGCATTTCTGTGGAGAAATTAGCTGCCCTATAAGTTTCAATCCGTGACCAGTTGAAATCGAAACGATTCCGAGTTTCAGCAAATTGGTCATGCGAAGCAGTAAATCATGAAGTACGTACAACTTAGAAAAACTGGTGGCATTTCAATATGATCAGCGTTCCAATGCGGTGCAGCAGAACAGTATGTAAGGTATTGAAATCGAACGTGATCTAGCAACGTTGTTTCCTTACCCGACTACAGCTTTGAGTTTAAGATTTGCATTACAGGGCAGTAGATATCAAAAAGCGGGAATTACCGTTGAATTATACAACTTGCCAGGAACCTGAGCTAAGTAAAAAAAATTGCATAAGGTGACAGGGATAGGCTCAGTACCAAAACCTATGGAAGCACAATTTCAGTTCGACAACGCCTTTACCTTTTTTCTAGCGAGGATCTGAGACAATCTACATTTCCGCGACAACCGCTCAGAATTAACATCTCCCAAAAAGAGCTGCAATTTTGCATCGCTCCTCTCCTGTGATATTTCACTTCCAGTCTAATAAATCAGGTAGCTGCTTCAACAGATGCTTATGGAGAGCAGATGGTGCGATTCATTTTGCAATGGATGACATCCGGAGCAATATTACGACACGCTCATTCTACAAAAACCACGTTGCATAAGTCTGTGTAGTTACAATGGCAATAAATGATCATGCAAGGCAAGGCTAACACTGACGGCAGTCCCTTGAGTGTGTATATCGGCGTCTTTGTTGAAAAATATTTTTCGAAAACCGTAATCGTCTCCAACCCCTCCCTTGGAAGAAAAAAAACTCCGTTACCGCCACTGGCTAAACTGACTAGGAATTCGCCGATTGATATAGTTTTGAAACATGAAAAATGGCAAATAAACCAAACAAAACGAGTCCCAGCCGTGTGAACTTGGCGCGTATTCGCGTCAAAGTGTCGTTGATAAGTTTAACATAAAAACAGGAGTGGTACTAGGAAATTCTACTTACTTTTCCATGTGTGGTGTAAGACAAGCGACTGAGCTGGAGCTATGGATGTATCGCTGTCACCATTTTGTACGGACATCCTCTCACTACTCGGTGGCCATGTCACCATTATAGCTGCATTGCTCGCACCGGCTTCCAACATTTTCGACAACGTGCATCTAGCTACCGGTGACGAATTTTCATAGTAGCCACCATTCGTAACACTCTCAGCAGAGCCACTGCCGTTCACCATTTGGGGTGAGGTGTTGCTCGAATAGGATTCAACAAAAGAGCTCTCATCTGAAAAGTACTGATAAAAAAATACCCTAACGAAAACTCAGGAAACGCACCGATCATATAAGCGACATCTTCGTTATCTACCGACTCACTGCTGTGACGTTTGGACTTCTGTAAAAACAGCAGAACATTAAAGAAAATAAAGAAGTCGAAATCGATACTGAACAGAAACAATTCAAATTGTAATATCAAACAGAGCAAAAAATTCTATTCAAAGGATGGAGCAAAACTGAAAATTTCATCAATGCGATTGGATTATGACAAAACGTATTAAAAGCTTCATTTTTGTTCAAACATTCTTGCTACCAAGTAGAATCATGAATTCAACATTTTTTTGTATTCACGAATAAAATGCATTTGAATGGATACTAGCCCTGCTGTTAAAACTGCGCCGTTTTTCATTTAATATCTGACAGACATGAAAAAAGTAATGGAGTGAGCGAAATTGCCTGCCTTTTTCTGACTAGTCGTTATTCAATCTTCTGTGAATTTTTCTCGCATTCAACGCCATTTGGAAGCCCGCAATCTCTAGTGTTTTAGCATACTTATGACATTTTCAGACTTGTTTGGAACGGGAGCTTAGAACCACCAAAAACAAAGCTTCTCCAAAATTTGTCGATCAATTTGTTGGGGACTGCCAGCTAATCGCATGGGACTCAAATAATTGTGTACGGATTTAAAGGCTGCGAGCACGATGGCTGACAGGCGGAGTGGTTCGGATAACGTCACTAATGGAATTAGGAGGTGGTTCACTCACGATAGATCACCGATACCGATCAGCCTTCAACCATCGTGTTCACTGCCTTTCAACTTGGCGAAACGTTTTCAAACTATTCCAACTGTGTCTTCCCCACGTTTTACTGATTTGGCAAGAAACATTGGTATTAGCAACAGTACCAATATTGAACTTGGTTTTAATCACGAAGCATAAGTGGCCGCCTTATTTCACTTGTATGCTCCAGATTAAAACAAAATTGCAAGTGTCACATTAAAAATGAACGGATGATCAAAACTACGAAAAAGAATGAAAAAACTCCCATGGCTATTAGTCAGAAAATTCGGAGAACTTCTGCTGAAATAAGTAACGAAGCTGTAAATTATACATAATTTTGAAACGACTTCAATCAAATGAACGGCGAAGTCTCATCTAGGCTGAAGGCCTTCCTTTGTGCTTATTTTAACGAATAAAATGGAAACTCATTACATCTCTTGAACAACTCCAGCTGAAGCCGTGAGAGCTCGGTCTTGTGTTATACCACATTTCCATTGGACCCCGAAAAACATAGCGGGCTCGTTGCCGAGCAAATGGTCACCTCTTTCACTGAGTGCTCATACAAATTTATTGTTGACCCTCACCCAACTAACACAAATCGCAAAAAATATGCGATACACTGGAAGCCTAGTTCAACAGTTTAAAGCGTCTACGAAACAGGTTAAGTTTTATTCTGAAATAATTGGCCCTGTACATTTCACACACACGTTCTTGAAAATTTTTGAAACTCTCCTTCCAAGGACGACTTTCACATGGTGATTATTAATATCTTACGATTTTCATTTACCGAAAAAATATAATCATAACACAAAAAACGGCCTTTATCGAACTAACCTTGCTTTTTTTATGAGCTCTTCTGCCAGGAGATTTCTGCTTAGACTGGTCACTTTCACTGGCATTTTTTGATGTAGATGTATCTGCTACTCCAATGACTTTGTATTGATCAACTCCTAATCGATGGAATCTAACTTTGAGTGACCGACGACTTTTACGACTGCGCTGCTCTCCCTGGAGAAAGTCGAAAAATAAGAAATCAAAAATTACAGTCCCACCCCAACTGAAGACTACGCCAGCTATTGCTGAGAGTGAGACAAAAAGGTTTTCAACACTTTACTTCATTTTTAACAATACATTGCACGCTAATGATGTATTAAAACGTTTCAAACTGTTCGCCTGCACGACCCTTTTCCGACACAAACTAATAGCTCCCACTACATCACTTGATGCTAACCTTTCCCTATTCACTTCCAGCAGACAATAAGAATCGAAAACCTAATGCTAAAACTTCGGGTCCAGAGGCATTTTCTATTCTCAAAATCTGATGAGTGGAGCACCGTCGGACTTGAAAAACAGATTATACATTAGTAAAAAGGACATGTGTAAACTATGGTGATTCTGACTAAACATCTCAAAAAAGACCGGACAATTTAAATTAGCAGTGCACATGTGTATTACTTTCTATTAATACAAAATACCTGTTGTGCTGAGCTTGTACTTGGAGGAGAGGGAGAGGGAGTCTTTTTCACTTGTGGCGTCTTCTTTAACACTTCTACCAACGCTTTTTCATGAACATTTGTGGACTATTATTATCTAAGCCACGTTTACATTGCACGCTAATGATGTATTAAAAACGTTTCAAACTGTTCGCCTGCACGACCCTTTTCCGACACAAACTAATAGCTCCCACTACATCACTTGATGCTAACCTTTCCCTATTCACTTCCAGCAGACAATAAGAATCGAAAACCTAATGCTAAAACTTCGGGTCCAGAGGCATTTTCTATTCTCAAAATCTGATGAGTGGAGCACCGTCGGACTTGAAAAACAGATTATACATTAGTAAAAAGGACATGTGTAAACTATGGTGATTCTGACTAAACATCTCAAAAAAGACCGGACAATTTAAATTAGCAGTGCACATGTGTATTACTTTCTATTAATACAAAATACCTGTTGTGCTGAGCTTGTACTTGGAGGAGAGGGAGAGGGACACTTTTTCACTTGTGGCGTCTTCTTTAACACTTCTACCAACGCTTTTTCATGAACATTTGTGGACACACATCTAAGAAAACAAGTCTAACCACGGATAAGCACACTATTTTGTATCATCACTCACGAATTTGCATCATTAGCTGTTTCACTGATCATCTTCAACACAGCGTGTACTTTCTGCATCGTCACAACCCTTAAACATGATATTTTTCAGAAATAATCGAAGTTATGGAAAATTAATCAGAAATTTTTAGATGCAAAGTATCAAAGCTCAGCACTGACACTACTCAGATAATAGTCTACCCACCCGACATTTATTTAGCTAAATTGAATATTTTTCTTTCAACTACAGCTTACATGTAATCCATACTAGGTCCTGAGAACAGAAACTAAATCCGGCCTACGAGATTTCATTGAGTAGCTTTCAGTGTCGCACTTTCAGCAAGCCGTACAACTTACCAAGTGGCTACACAATTAAGTTAATGCTCAGAAACACATCTGAAAGCCTACTTCTTTTGAAATATGCTCGCCGCTCTACCCATTTTCCATCGTTTTTCGTTTCAGTTGGAAATAGTAAACTCAAAGGTGCAAGCTTCAGCATAACACAGGCCTCAAGCACCATGGGTGAAGCTTATATTAAATTCGTTACAAATAAAAGAGCAAGAAGTTGCGCAGTTGTGAACCAATCTTCATTCATTCACACCTCACCGTATTTTATTCACTCCTTCAAGTTTGGTGCCTCATACTGATGTATTGAATCGATCTCTTGTTTTATGACGTTTTTCTACCGTTAGATCATATATTAAAATAAGCGCTAAAGTCGACACTGAAAAAGTGGAACGCTCACCAGTCGTGCTTCGGAATGAGGCATGTAAGAGGCGGAAAAGGGTCGATATTCATCTTCAGCAGATAACTCCCATCTTCAATGATGCTAACGGTGAGCTGTGTTTTGGTCCTTTTCGACAGCAAGTAACGTTCAAGCAAATCATCTAAAAAAAATCCGCGTCCACTGTAAAGAATAACAGGTATCAAGTCTAACTGCACTCACTATAAGAAGGGAGATCCATCGGCGGCGGAAACCCATCGTCTGCTTTGGCTTAAAAAGTTGTATCGGAGGCTTAGTAAAGCCTTGACAATGCTTTATCAAACGTACGCATGTCGATGAGGAAATTTCTTATAAGAAAAGTCGAAATCATCTTAAAAACTTACCAGGTGTGTTCTCGTCAGACGAATCCTCCGCGCTCTTCGTCTTCATTTACTGAATTGGACGGAAGAAGTATTTCTGTAAACAAACGACAACTTGTGGATGTAATAGCTAGCCGAATCGTACACGAAGAAGACAGCGACGAGGCAACGGAGGGAGTGAGGCGTATGTGTAGTATCGGCGTTGCTTCACACACATACACACACACACGCACATACACAATCACCACCCACAAACCTCCAGAAGCGTGTTCTGGGACGTTGCAAGGTGAAAAGAATGCGCATGACCCTCGTCATGCATATCTTCGTCTGGAGTTGTACACTCCTATCCTAAAAACCTTCTCTAACAAAAACGACCCTGTTAACCTTGGCCACGGTCACATTGCAACTACCACTCCAACATGTAAGTGGTGATTGTGGACAATTTTTCATACAAATCGACCACTCACAGTTTCTGCTGATGACTCACAGACCATGTAAAAGTCAAGCCGTTCAGCCTTTGCAGGTGACTTTACAACCCACAACTATGAACGCTTGCGCACTCGCAGCCGAAAAAAAAATGAGGAGCAACACGCTGGCGAATTACCGCGGGCGTGTGCTCGTTGTGGGACCAGCTAAACATGTTTGTGCAGGATCACTCACCACTCGGATTGGTGATCTGCCCAAGCTCTCCGATCATGCCAGCGGTTTAATTGGACTTGTAAAGTAGGCTAGCAAGATCCAATTCATGATGAAAGGGATGAATACACAATTTTCATTCAGGGCAATTCAAACCGCTGAGAAACGCGGCACGTCAGAGACGCAGAGTGAGGCTAGCCGCTAGGAAGTCGCTGAGTTACGTAATCCAGATGGAACATTTTTGAAGCCTTTTGTTTCTGCATTTGTGAGGTAATCCATTCTGGAGCCTAAGGGAGCTCATTTTGTTAACACTAACCGCCTTGACTATACCTCATGGACTTGGGCTGCGATTTTTGCCGAAATTTTCATGGGTAAACGTCTACGCGTTTTTTGCAGCTGGTAACGCACCAATCGAGAAATCTACTGATTTATGTGTTCTTTATGAGTGACCATAACCCTTGGGATCCTTCAGTGGGTTCAGGGCAATCTGAGTTATATTGCAGTTCATCTAATTTTGAGAAGAATAAAAGGCACTTCAGCAATTCGCTGATGCTATTAAGTAACATATATATAATTTGTATGGAGCTCGAACCTCCCAGAATCAATGCAACGGAAGTTTTCGTTCCTAGAATTGCTCTTTTGCCTCCGCAGTTAAGCTTATTTGTTTGTATTGACGACCAACAAGGCAATGAATGATTTACTGCTCAGATATCGCACGCAGTTCACCTGGCTTTATTAACACTTTGCGGACATTGGGGTAACATTAGTGTCTTAAATTGTGCTAGTGATTTTTTAAAATTGCTTTGGTTGTTTCCTGTCAAAATTGTGATATCCACTCTTCCTTTTTGGACGCTTGGTGGATGCGTTGCAAAATCACAAGCAGATTTTGACAATATTCATTGCTGTAACTGTTGCACTTTGCTTGCAAAGAATGGGTCGCTGATCATGCACTTCTTTTGATCTCCCCAATCGATGGTTTCTCGCATGTATTGGCTCACTTCTCCAGCTCGTGAACACTGTAAACTGTTGGGTTTTATAACAACGTTCTCAGGTTATAGAAAAAATCCGGTGTGTATTTTGAGAGCATTCGCAGAATTTTACACGGGCAGGCTGCATTCATCCCACTTATTCTTTACTGGAGCACTTTTAAACGTGATCTATATCGATATAAGACTGTATACCCACCCATCAAAACCGAGCATTGATCATTCCTACAAATAGCGTGTAGCCCTACCATTCTTAATCAAACACTCGGGGCTTCCCTTTGAAAAGTAATCTACCTAGTGCTTTATTCCGAAATCGCCATTTCTTTTCTTTTGCAGGTTCATACATTTGACCTTTTCCGAATGAGCGATGCAATTTTATGCAGTGTTGAAATATAAGTAGGTAAATTCAAATCCCCCGAATTAACATCAAATAAAATGCCGTTTTAGTGGAATGACCTCCATAGGCAACATACGTGGCTTCAGGAAGTGTAACTTTTTTTGAGCATTGTGTCCCTATTGGAAAGCTGTAGAATATTGTAGCTTTTATACCTGTAAATGTTCCAGGCAAACATTTCCTTTTTTCTTGTAGGTTTTTCCATATTTTCAAGGCGTTTATTTTTTGAAGTATATGTCTATTTGTTAGTTCATAGGTAATCTCATGAGCGTTTTTTTTTGGTCCAGGGTTCTATTGTCAAGCAAACTGCTCTAAGAAAATTTGCAAACGTAGTCTATGCTCGGCATAGTTTGTTATCTCCTGTTTCTATATTGAGGTGAAGCATGGTGTGTGCGTTATTTGTTGCGCCTCTGTCAGCAAACCCTAATGACTTAAGCCGTGTACCAAGCCCGTAGCTTCAAATTTTTGTTTTAGTAGTTTCTATGAATCTCCGAGCTTATTCTTGGGGCTAGCGCGACATCTCTGCGCTTATTCTTGGGGCTAACGCGCTCTATAGCATACGGGGCTGAATGATCTCGTTAGACAACAAATTTGATTCTGCCCTGTTTCACCACGTTGACCCGCGGTTTTATGACTGTGTTAAGCATTCGAGTGCCAAGAAAAACCTTAAAGGGCGAGTCTATTTCTTTTGAGCGAAAAATCCACTCTTCTCCACAACCTAATATATTTTATGATGCGAGCAGCGCTTCAAAATGTAGTGTCAAACAGCTAGGGAGGTTAATACTGCTGTTTGTTAACTTTCGTACTCGGGACTCTGCATGGACTTGGTATGTTATTATGCTTGTCAGAACCGGTGTGCTGCTGATCACAAATGCTCTTCAGACTCAGGTACCTTGTTTTGTTCTGAAAAAAGAAGCGAAAAAGAAGTTTTAAATTAGTGCTTGTTTTCCTTCTGCCGTACAGGTTGTTAAAATGGAACTTATTTCTTCGGTCGACGTTTCGAATAACTCGTCTCGTTCAAGTACCATAGAAGTCGGTTTTAAAGTTTTAAGCATAAATTTACGCCTTAAAGCAACAGTCCAGGCAGGGTTTCAACTACTTGGTCATTAGGCGGTCAAAACATGCCCCAGCCCAACTAAAGTTTATAGGAAATGTCTTTAATTTCAAAACCTACCTCTAAAATGCGCTGGAAGGGGTCGAAGTCCTCTTGGAGGGGGCGGATCACCCATAAAGAGGCGGATCGCCCAACATACGCTGTGCAGAGCGCTTGCTCGACTAGCGGTCGTTGCGGGACCGCCGCGCTGTATGAGGTCGATTCCATAAGAACGCAATTGAAGCGCTTCAATTTCGATTGCTGGCAAATAGTTATGTATTTGCAAGCATGCATGGCTATTTGCCAGCAGCCGTATGCTGAATGTTGGGTAGGGGCTGGGGTCCCCGACCCGCGATGCTGAATGTTGGGGCTCCCAGCAGAGTTTCGTCGCGGGACCGGGCGGCCACTGACCGGTCCTTTGATTTTACGATTACGTTTTCACCTTTTTACTGTTTTACACTGTAGATTTGTCCACGTATATGCAGCTATATTGTTGTAATTGCTTTAGTTTATCCTTTGATTCTTTCACACCCCCCCCCCCCCACAAAAACCCCCCCCCCACCCCCCCCCCACATATTGGAGCGTTCGTGTACGTCTAGCTGCATTGCCGTAATCTTGCCAGTCTGTCCATTCACTACTTTAGACTGAAGTTTGGTTCGCGCCTTCTATTACTTCGTGCCATATTGGTGTATTACTTCAATATGGCAATGTGTGCGTGGACGAATTCTGTAATTTAGAACAGTGAAAAGACAAAAACTTCAGCACAGAATTAAAGGACTGGCCAGTCACCTGTAGGTCCCGCGACGAAACTCTGCTGGGAGCCCCAACATTCAGCATCGCGGGTCGGGGACCCCAGCCCCTACCCAACATTCAGCATACGGCCCCAGAGCAATTGGAGCGCATGTACTACGGGCAGGTTCGGACAACTCGTCCAACACACGTCTCCCTAAACGGCAGGGGGAGTCCCTGTCTAAGCCCCTGCCCGACGTTTTTTTCTACTTTTTCTTTCTCCATTGACCAACTTCTCACCTGCAACGTCATTATAGGTGGTCCTTACCCGCGAATTCGTTCCTGGATTGTTGCTTTAAAGAAATTGTAACAGCCTGTATCCCAGAAGAAAAACAAGCAGTATTCACAACATGCTGGTTTCATGGAATTTTAAATTAGTTACCGATTTCTGTCGTTCCACTTCCTGTCATACACTTTTCTCCCTTTCATTTCCTCTTTACATCATAATACTTGCTCATTTTTCATTCAATTCAATCATTTTTAGGCAGTTTGATCACAATGCGGCTTTTTAAAGATTATTTTACATTCGTTCTCAAAAATTCCTGAATCCAAATAACCTAAATATCTTTGGGGACCTTGGCATATCCCCCAGCTAGCTTTTTGTAAAACTAAGGCAGAAATCGCGCAATATTATCAGGATTTAGAAGTGTTAGACACGTTATTGGTTTATTCGCCATGTGCAACCTTGAACTGAGGCGGGTTGAGAAATCGCTTAAATCATCGTCTTTGTGTTCGTCTCTACGTCAGCTTTGCTCATAAAACTCTTGTAGTGAAATTTCTCGTTAAACATTGTGTGAGAAATTAGTTGATATTAGTGTATCGTAATTTCGTATAGAATATCGTATCGCTCCTGACCCTCCTATATATCGATATGGAGAACGGAGTTGACGAGAAGGGACAGACACCAACAAAAGATTCTGTAGAGAAGGGTACTACAGAAAGGGACGTCTCGGCTCCTGAGATGGAAATCGAAGCCAAAGACGCCATCAATAATAAGGCAGATATTACACTGAAGTCTGCTGAAATCGAAAACCGAGAAACTGACGTGGAAAACAGAGATATGGACGTCGACAATAGAGATACAGACGTAGAAAACGTCGAAGTACAAAAAAGTAGTTGATCCTGAACCTTTCCTGTCACTCGCCGATTTTCTGTTTTTGCACTATGTACGCCATACCTTACGCATTCTAGGTAGACATGGTCGAGGATTCCGCTAGTGAAGAG